GGGGGGGGCGAGGGGGAGGGGGGGGGGGGGTGGGGGGGGGGGGGGGGGGACTACGAGGGGGTGGACGGTCAGGATGCTACTATTCAGAAGGACATGGGTTCAGAGGTCACCGTGGCCTCTTTTGAAAGGAGGGTGTCGCCGTGCGCTGAGCCTGAGTGTGTGAGCATGTGCACGTGTCTGCGAGCAGTGGGTGGGGTCACACATGGCACCAAAGGGGATCCCAACGGACGGGCGTTTTCAGAGACAGGTCCCCCCTGGACAGAGAGAGAGAGAGGGAGAGAGAGAGAGAGAGAAGGGGTGAGAGACCAGAGAGGATGAGGGCCGGGGCGCTGGTTGTCCGTTGGGGTCCAGCAGGGACGGAGCAGCCTGCTAATGAAGAGCCATCTGAGGCCTCCATTCACCTTGACCGTGGGCCACTGCTGCTGCCCTGACCTTGGCTTTGATCTGAAAAGATGCTTGACCCCCACCAGTCCCCCAGAGTCACCCACCTCACCATCTGGACAGCATGCATATGTATACATACGTGCACACACCCCCCCCCCACAGATACATATGCATGTACACACGCGTGTTGACTCGTAAACACATGCACATTGATGAGGCCTCGCAGCTTCATTGTTCGGAGAATGTTTTCAGTTCAGGTCCATATGTTGCTTTTGCGTGTCTTGGTCAGTAGGTGGCATGTTTTTGCGCATCGCTTTGTTTGGTTTTATGAGGCTACACAGACTCGTGGTACAGACAGAGGAGTCCCATCAACCCGATCACTGGTGGTGGACCAGACCTGGTACCTGGTACCTGGTACCTGGTACCTGGTACCGTATCAATGTTCTTTCATTTTTTTATTTGCTTTATCTGTTTTCGGAAATTAACGTAAAATGTTTTATAGGGGTGTGAGAAAATATTGATACGCTGAAATATCGCAATATTGCGTTTGGCAATACCGTGTCAATTGTATTTATTTTTTTTTAGTAACAATTAACATTCAAATTTTTTTAAGCCGTCGTTCCATTTTTGTGTTGCATTTAAACCCCCGACCACTAGTTGACTTGAAGGATGGCGTATTTTGCAAATATTTGAGACTTTGAGTCAAACAGTCCAGTTGTTTTTCATGTGTTCATCCAAAGAATCGTAGAAGAGTAAAAAAAAGTATCGTAGTAGTATCGTAGTATATTGCAATATATCGTATCGTTGCCTCTGTATTGCGATACGTATCGTATCTTTGATTCTTGCCAAGACACCGCTAGCGAGCCCTGAATCGTAGTTCATATAAGGATATAAGTCCTAAGAGTTCGTTAAAGTTACGTATACGTAACTTGACAATACACACCCCTAAGATTTCCTTTGAGTGAATTATTAAACTTTTTTAAATGAAAATATTATATAATATAATATGCTATAACTGGACTTCTGTATATTGTGTTTTTTGGTCTTTCTTTAAACAAGTCTGGATCATATAAAATGGTGACCTCCAATAATATGCTATAACTGGACTTCTGTATTTGTGTTATATTTTTTTAACGCCCGACGTTTGGTCTTTCCTTTAACTGCCTGGATCATATAAAATGGCGACCTCCATTTTTTTTTTTTTTCCTCACGTCTGTCCCAACAGTTGCCGTTCTCCATAGACACGACATTGAACTCCTGTTTTTTTTTTTTTTTTTACTTTAATAAAAATGCGGCCACATGGAACACTGGGAATCCTAGGAAATTCCCCAAGTGCTGCCATAACACTCCTCCCTCGCCGTGCGTCGTCCGGCCCGTCCACCGGGGGCAGCTGTAAATGACAGTCATGTCACGGGTGACTCGACTCTGAGTCAGTCCGTCTGTGTTGGCGTCGACCCGTCTCCGGCGTTTTCCCTCTTTCCTCGTTTCATTTTACGAGGATGAACCGCCGCGGTCTGTACTGTGTCCTGTGATTCACGTCGGTCGCTCAGCGAGGCCCTGGTGCTCGGCAGGAGCTGCGGCTTGTTTTCCTTCCTCCGGTTAAAGTGGGTCAGTGTCAATGGGTTTGGTGTCCGTGACATGGACCCGTTCTCTGCGTCACCGTTCTGGACATGTCCCTTGATTAAGTTACTGCGTGGAGGCAGCGGCAGCATCTGTGCACATACAGCACAAGCTGTG